CGTGTGGGTGTGGGTGTGGGTGTGGGTGTGGGGTGTGGGGTGTGGGTATGGGTGTGGGGTGTGGGGTGTGGGTGTGGGTGTGGGTGTGGGTGTGGGTGTGGGTGTGGGTGTGTGGGTGTGGGTGTAGTTCTACTATTTCTCTACACCCACACCCACACCCACACCCAACTGATGAGTCCCTTTAGCAAGGACGAAACCGGTCTTTGCTAGCTATTTACTCACCCTCACCCTTACCTCTAAGAAAACTTTATCCAACTGTTGTCTCTGAGATACTTTGGTTTTAACCTTTGACAATTCATACAACTACTTGGATGATCATGTTTTGACGATCTTTCACTTGTGTTCTTTGCGATTTTCGCTTAGATCATTTGAATACTGGTGTATGTCATATAATCTAGGCCATCTGATGAGCTCCTTGAGCAAGAGCGAAATCGCGATCATGGTAGCTTGACACACCCTCTGATCATTTGAACAAACTAGATTTAGAGCTGCTAGTATAAAGCCATCTGATGATTCTCTTAGTCGAGATGAAATTGCGATAATGGTTGCTAGACTCACACCTTTGTGATCGATACTTAGCTTCGCTTTGACAATTGACGAAGTGGTTACTAGTGATACTCATTCTTGTTTATGATCGTCTTTGCTTTGGATTTCAAAGTATTTGACTAATCATTCGAATAGAATTGAAATATTGCTAGAAGTTGAAGCCATCTGATGATTCTCTTAGCCGAGATGAAATCGCGATAATGGTTGCTGGACTCACACCCCTCAAGATGTACGTCATACTTACGAACATTGCCCTACCAGTTTGGCGCGGTCCGTCCTATGAGTATCCTTAAAACTAACAGGAGTCTTCCTGATCGCGCACACGCTCGCATAATATGCAGTCGAGAATAGCAGAAAATACCATTAGTAGCAATAGAAATTAGTTTATTCAGAAAATAAAGTAAAGAAAAACTTTTACATCTTTCGAATTTTTTCTAATGTTTCTCTGTAGTCCACAAGATGAGGATGATTTCCTGGCAACTTCTCTTCTCCTATTTTAATCGCTTGTTGAACATTTTTCATTGCCATACTATACTGTTGAGTAATCAAATATAATTTCGCCAAATTATGATAGATTATATCTAAATCCGGATGATTTTTTCCCAGTTTCTTCTCACGAATTTCCATTCCTTTTTGATAATATGTCATTGCTGTTGTATAATCTTTCATTTCACGATACGTTTCACCTAAATTCACATACGTTGTTGCGCAGTCCAAAGGATTACATCGACTATTTTCTTGAATATTTAATGCTTTCTGATGAAAGAGAAGTGCCATTTCATAACAACCCTCAAGTCGATGAACATCACCAATATTACTATATGTTAGTGCAAGGTGCGGATGTTTTGCTGGTAATGTTTTTTGCTCTATTGCGAGGCACTTTTGAAAGTAATCCAGTGCTTTTGAGTATTCCTTCATATTGCGATATACTCTTCCAAACAGACTATACGTTGAAGTAAAAGCTTGATTACCTTCTTCAAATACTTTCTCCTGAATCTGTAAAGCGGTTTGAAGTGCTTCAAGAGTTTCCGAATAATCGCCCATTTTCTCGTAACACGCAGCGAAATTCAAACGACTAACAGCCAAATCCGAATGACTCGGAGGTAAAGTTTTTTCTCTGATTTTATATGCTTTTTCGTAAAATTCAAGTGCTTTTGAATATTCACCCAAGTTCTGATACATTTGACCAATGTTGCTGAAGGAACTCGCCAAATCTAGATAATTCGGAGGCAGCGCTTTTTCGTAGATTTGATGTGATTTTTCGTAAAATTCAAGTGCTTTCGAATATTCACCCATGTTGTTATGCACTAGTCCAATGTTGCTGAAGACAGTAGCCAAATGCGGATGATTCGGAGGTAGCGCTTTTTCGTAGATTTGATGTGATTTTTCGTAAAATTCAAGTGCTTTTGAATATTCACCCATGTTGTTATGCACTAGACCAATGTTGCTGAAGACAGTAGCAAAATCCGGATGATTCGGAGACAGAGCTTTTTCGTAAATTTGATGTGATTTTTCGTAAAATTCAAGTGCTTTCGAATATTCACCCATGTTGTTATGCACTAGACCAATGTTGTTGTAAGATTGAGCGGAGTCAGAATGAGTCGGAGGGAGAGCTATTTTCCGAATTTCAAGTGATCGTTCGTACGATGAAAGTGCTTTTGAGTACTCGCCCCTGTTGCTATACACTCCACCAATGTTGTCTAAGGAAGTAGCCAAATCCGGATGACTCGGAGGTAAAGTTTTTTCTCTGATTTTATATGCTTTTTCGTGAAATTCAAGTGCTTTCGAATATTCACCCATGTTGTTATACACCAAACCAATGTTGTTGTAGGATTGAGCGAAATCAGAATGAGTCGGAGGGAGAGCTATTTTCCGAATTTCAAGTGATCGTTCGTACGATGAAAGTGCTTTTGAGTACTCGCCCATGTTGTTATACACCCACCCAATGTTGTTGTAGGAAGTAGCCAGGTCGGGATGATTTGGAGTTAGAGTTTGCTCGTAAATATCAAGTGTTTTTTTCAAAAATTCAACTGCGTTTTGGTAGTCTCCTTGATCCGTCTTGATCAATCCAAGTTCATTGTAACAATACGCTTTATCGCTTTGATTGGATGCTTGAGCAAGTAACATCTTGTAGACCTCTTCGGCTTTGTCATTGGCACCTAGTTTCCATAACAAGCAACCCATTGTTTGCCACCCTGTTCCAGTGATCTCTTCTCTTATTTTTTCGGTTAGAGCACTGAGTTGTTCGTCATCACTTCCATTGGTAAGTGTAAGTTCAACTTGCCATATCTTCTTCGCGTCGGTATCCATCATCCTGATTTCTGTGATATGCTGAATGCGGAAAACTGTATGTGTAGAGAAGAGAACTTCTTTTTCTGTCTCGAAGTGACTTATGTCATCGATGCGAGCAAACGAAGCCGATGAAATCGATCGATCGATTTTCATTTTGAATAGAACGCCAATTTTGTTGTTGTCAGGAGTAGATTTTTTCAGCCCTTTAGAAATGAAGCCCATGGCAACATTTCGCTCTTCACTGGTAGACAGGAAATTATTAAAAGACATAAGGACACCTTGTTTTATTTTCTCTTTAAAATCTTCTTCCATCATGGTTTTACCACGGTACACTATCAGTGTTGTTATTGATGAGTCATTTTGTATTTGATAAAATTGTTCAGAATGAAGTTTTTGAATATTTTGGTGTAGATCACGAATAAACATGCCCATTTTAAGAAGAGTTTCAACTTGTAAAGTACACAGAGCTTTGTTAACCATATGATACATGAAACATTCACGTGTGTACCACGAAATGGGCTGGTTGTTTCCACCTAAATGACCTTGATATTTTTGAGCGAATTCATCGATAACTTTCAATTCTTTTTCGTTGTCAGCATACTTCTTGCCAGCATACTCGACTAAGTCATTGATTTCTTTCTGTTCATCGAAATCGATTTCTAGAATAATTTCTTTGAATAGTTGTGTATACATGAATGATGGTTCGATTTGATTAGAAATGACGATAGAATCTTCGTCACATTCTCGCGCTGTTTGACGAACTGATTCACAGATAGAATCGATTTCGACAAAAATATCTTTTACTTTTGACCAATTTTTGGCCCATTCTTCATACTTGGCTTTTTTCTGACAAAGGACATAAATTGAATAAAGTTGAGTCATGTTGTGAATACGTGGCACTACACTTTCGCATAGAGAACCGGCGATAATAAGAAATGAGTTTTCATTTTGAAGTTGTGACATGTAGCCAATACATTCATCTGTATCATGAAATACTTCAATGGTATTTACTGTTCGTCGAAGTTGTCTGATCGAATTGCGGAAATCATCGGTGGATCTATCGATTTTTTCATCAAGCCAAATCAAAAGGTAATTTTGTACGATTTCTTGAGCTGGTACACGATGACGACGATCCCGTTTTCCAATGATAGTATCAGAATTTGATCGTCTGATTAAAATAGTGGGTGATGACGCTGTTGATATTACCATTGTTGGCTTGTGAGACGAAGGAGGAGGAGAAGGAGGATTTAAGGATCTGGTCGTGTTCATTGATTCGTTACAGCCCATATCGTTTGTATATGTAGGTATGTAAGAAAGGGTATTTTATATATTGTCCGAAATTACCCACACTCAAATGAATGATTTGCCAGTCAACGAAAATACTGTTCTATTTAGACGAATATATTCTATGACGACGATTTTCTTCTCAATGATTAATGAAAAATGTTTTATAAATGCAGCTGAACGAAGAAACTACCCAGCTTTATTGAAAAATTGTGACGAAACGACCGAGTATTGTGTTGGTTAATTGTTGCTTCCACTTTTTTTTGCCAAATTTCGCTTGTTTATGTTGTCATGCAAAAATAACTGCAAAGAATGAATGATTAGCTTGAGTTCAAAAGTGTCTTATCAAAAAGGAAAAAATAGTAAATCATTATTCTCTGTATTATGAAATGATTCAATAGTTTCTTTCTCTTGTTTGCTATTTCGTTTTTCTACATACACATAACTTATCATATGTATTATGACTTTTCGATCCTGTTCAATCTATTTTAGCCATACAGTAGAAGAATGAAAATTCATTTGATAGTGTAAAAATTTTGAAAAATAGGCAAACAAATGTAGCTTCAGTTCTTTTTTCTATCAGTTTGAAGATAAACAAAAATGGAGCTCGTTCAGTGAAATCACACTGGACTACTTAAAGCGAGCATTATAGCACGGATAGCTGTAGCTTCTAAGACTAGTGTTGTATGTGATCTTGTGGTTTGGGTCACCTAATTATAATTATACAAGTGTCTTGATGAGAATGCATGAGATGCCACTAAGTAGTTGATAGTTTAGATTGCAGTAATCATGAAAAAGAATTCTTAACATACTGATTGTAATGACAAGCTTTGTAGTCTAAACTTAGTCCTAATCAATGTAAGTTGCTCACTCTTTTCGTTCGAAAGCACGCAACATTGTGATTGTTCGTGCAAAATTAAAGTGTACAAATAAAATGAGTTGAATTAGAACGAAATCACACTTGATGATTAAGTTATGAAATGGGATGATAGGCTATCGGAACATTTTTGTAATGACATGAAAATCGGATGGCGCACTACAATCCTCATCTCTGCTTGTTACAACGATATGCAAGACTACCTGAATTCGTCATGTGGACTATCTTCTAGAAATACTTCAATACTGAGAAATTTATGACTACGCTTTTCTAAAAAATGTTCAGGTTTCATTGATCAGAGAAATGATCGTGTCGAATGCAGGCTAGTCTTTTTTTATGACCTATAACGCCATTGAATTAAGCTGCTAATTCGTCCCTCATCCAGTTCTACTAGTCATGCTCTTTCCAACAAATAACATTTTAGAAAGAGAATTAGAAGGGGTGGGGGTGAGATTTATTATCTATTCTTCACCCTCACCCCATGGACACCTCATGAACAGCCTCGAACATCCCACGGACAGCCACCAATAAGCTCACATATCAATTCCAAGCTGCGCTTGGTAAAAATATAATGACGAGAATGTGCGCTTATGTGACTCGATAAACCACAAGAGCTCAAAGATCAAAGTTTATGGTTCCAAGATCTACATCAAGTAGGAAAACTAATCATTGAGGCTCTAACGAGGGAACATGCCCAGGTGCCCTCTCACTTTTTGGTCGAGACTATATTCATATGATATGCCATGGTGAGTAGTGTCAAAGTCTAAGAGGGTTCGGGTAACTGGGTCTTCGTTGCTGAGAAATTGAATTTTTACTACATTCTTTTAACGAAGTGCCGTGGTCTCCCTCAGGTTCACTGAAAAATCGATTTTCGAATTTCAGCTTGAAACTTTGCACAGATATAGATCTCAATGAGACTAACTTATTCTGAAAGGTTCACATTTTTTGGTTGCTCCTATCCTAAAATATGAACGCTAAACGTTTTTGTGTTATGCTTATACTTACAGCTCAAAATGTTTGATGTTCATATTTTAGGATAGGAGCAACCAAAAAATGTGAACCTTTCAGAATAAGTTAGTCTCATTGAGATCTATATCTGTGCAAAGTTTCAAGCTGAAATTCGAAAATCGAATTTTCAGTGAACC